CTCCACAAACAATCTGTCCATTTCCGGTCCTGGGGAAGAGAAGCTAAGGCAACAAGCCTGCTACCAGATGTTCCCAAGGGAAAAGAAAGAAAGCAGGGAACTGGCTCAGTCTCCTTATCATCTGGATGCTTGGTAGATGGACTGACCACAGTGACCAGAACAAAACCTTATTTCTTTAGGCACTTAACAGGATGCCCTTGAGTAAATTATACATATAGCATCAGCTCCGGAAAATATATTCAGAATCTGTAAGATATGACTTTCAGAAAATTCAAACAAAGTAAAGAACTCTGGGAAAATAAAGTGGAACCTTTTTCTTCTGGCAACACAAAGAATCAGATGACCTTACTTTCTATTCTGATATAAAAAGCATGTACCTTATACAGGAAAGAAAGGGGAGCTCAGGGCCCTTAGCAGAGTGCAACATCTATTTTTTATTTTGTCTGAGATTTTTTCATTTCCCTTCTCCTTGACCTTGCTGGCAAAGTCTGAGCCTGGCATCCCTCTGTGGTTTGTGTGTGACTTAACAAGGACATATTTTAAAGTTGGAGGGGAAAAAAAAGTTCATTTTAAAAGGTCTGTAGGCCTCCTTCCTTATCCCAGATTTCACATCTTTGGAGTTCAGGATGAGGGATGGACACCTAGGTTCACTATTCCTGATTATATGGTCCTTAACTCGATAATGGATGATGGAACAAAGACCCTGTAGTGAGAGACAACGTTCAGGTCAGCACTAAGAATATTTGCTCCAGTACTTAGTATCTTTCTTTTTATGTTCAAGTGCCCCAAGGACAGAAATGGTTTATCTTGATAGCATCTTGGACATGTAAGACTTATGGCAGTCCCTACAGAAAATACACAACAAAAGAATGAAACAACCTACATGCCCGTTGATTAGTGATCGGATAAAGAGATACTGTTGTACAGTGGAATATTGTTCAGCCTTCAAAAAGGAGGAAATTTAATATGTAGCATGTGGTGGTTTGAATAGGAATGACCCTCATAGCCTCAAATATTTGAAGTTTTGGATCCCAGTTGAACCATTTAGAAATGGCTAGGAAGGGTGGCCTTATTGGAGGCATGTGACTGGAAATGGGCTTTAAGATTTCAAAAGTCTATGCTAGACTCAGTCTTGCTCTCTCTCTCTGCCTGCTACTTGCAGATTAAAATGTACATTCTTAGTTATTGGTCCAGCATGATGCTTGCCTACCTGCCATCATGCTCTTTGCCCCACCCTCTGAAACTCTAAGCAAGTTCCCAATTAAAAGCTTTTTTTTCCTGATGTAACCTGATCATAGCACTAGTGACCCTAGTTAAGATGTAATATAGCTGAGAACATCATGCTAAGTAAAATCAGCCATCTACAAAGATTCCAGGTTTGTGAGATACCTAGCATAGTCAAATTGATGGAAATAGAAAGAAACAATTGTGATAACCAAGGTCTAGGTAGAGGAAGGATGGGGTGTTGGTGCTAATGACTTACAAAACATCATGACTATTTATCTGTACAGTTACACATAGTCAAGATGGGGGTGGAGAAGGTATCTCAGCGGTAGAGCACTTGCCTAGCATGTGTGATACTGTGAGTTTAATTCCTAGTACTATAAACACAAGACAAAACAGAACTAGCCAGTACTGATAGCTGTCTGTAGTCCCAGAACTTATAAATTCTATTATTATAACTAAAGTGGAGTTTGCATTTTGATGAATGCAAACTAAAGACAAGCACAGCTGAGAAATAAGATCAGAGAAAGATTTGCTGCAAACACCAGGCTCAAGAAGAAAAGAAAGTACACACTTTTGGGGGCATGCTTTATTTAGGTAAAGATTGTGACGCATATGTTTGCAGGATTACAATGGTGGGTGAGAACAGTTTTGGGGATACTCAACTTGAATCATAAAGATGGTAACCAGTAACACTCGGCATGCTCAACTTTCTTTAAAAAAAAAATTTAGCTGGAAAAAGGAAAGAATACTTGAAATGTCTTACTGTAGATGTTTGCCCCTAAAACTTTAATCTTAACATTATTTTTATTTTGTTACAAGTTAAAAAATTTCAAATGCATAGAGAAATTTAAAAAACAATATTAAAAAAAAAACAAAACAAAATAACAACAACAGCAAAAATGAAAAACTAGAAAAACAAAACACTATTTCCCAGAGCAGCCAGGAAAAAGACACCCAAGTGCCCGGAGCTACTACAGTGAGTGAATATGTGAAGGACAGAAAGAAGGAGACATGGGAGGACTCAGTGGATAGATGGAAGAGGGGGAGGAGCTGTTCAGTTCACACTGTAGAAAGAGATGGAACTGGGTAGCAGTTAGAAACAGGCGGATATGAGGAACCTGTGCAACCGCATGGAGCCATGATGATGTCTGGGCCCTGGGCTCTGTCAAGGGCTATGTCTGGTTTTGGGACATCGCTGCAGCCAGAGTCTGTGTTGATGTCTGTGGCCAGAGTTAACACTGAAGGCCATGGGGATGTCACTGGCTTGGGCTTATGCTTAAGACTATGTTGATGCCCAAGTGCTATACAAGGCTGGCCCTGCCCCTTGCCTGGGCAGCATGGGAGAGCTGGCTCTGGTGGTGTGAATGCTGAAGAGATGGCCCCAATAAGATGAGTGTGGGAGAGCTGGTCCCTTGTCCCTCACCAACTGAAGCACTCAGGAGAGCAGCCCCACACCTCCTCCCCTGGGCAGTACAATACAACTGGTCCTGGTAATGAGAGCAAGGGTGAGTGGGCAGAGGGCATGTGAGCAGGAGGGCTGGGCCTGCTCCTTGCTTGGTCAAGATAGGAGGGTTGGTCCCGGTGGTGCAGGCATGGGAGAGCTGGTGAGCTGACCAGCATCCGTTCTTGCCCAGATCAAGAGGTCTGAGTTGACCCACCCGAACATCTACCCCATCTATGAACTGCTGAAGCAAATGAAAAGGCCAGTCCTGTAAATCCAAAGCTCCGGGATCTCCATGACACAGGGCAACCACAGGATAACTGAGAGGAGTCTAGTGAGGACCCAATGTTGATGTGACAGAAGCTAGAGGCTTTGAGAAAGACCAATTAATGACTTATTGCAGTAAACATTTGCAAGTGAAGGTGTGTGGGTTATAGCCTATACTGTGCGATATACCATGACACACTGCAACTTCTGCAGCGAGATTTAAAATCATTTTGTTTTTTGTTTTCTTTTTGGTGGGAGGAGGTTGCAGGGGTGGAGGGGAAGATTGGATGGGTTTGGGGTACATGATGTGAAATTCACAAGGGACCAATAAAGTTTTTAATTAAAAAAAACAGTATTTATAATGTGAGCAAGATGTTTTTGTTAATCTCTTCAAGTTACCAACTCTTCCAAGTAGCGTCAACCCTTCCAAGTCATGCTCAGCAGTGCTACTCCGGTCCTCTCCTGAACAGACAACCCTCCTCCAGTTGGTTTCTTGAATCTTTATTATTTCTTGAACTGGAATGTAAGACCTAAGAGAAGCACAGAAATGATCTGTGAAGAATGCAAGTCTCAGAGCTTAAATAAGAGTTCGCTGTTGAACACGTCTGATGTGTGGTAGAGTCTCAGTGCTGGATAACTTCTCTTTCCCACCAGGCTCTTTTCAAAGTGGAAAATGTTCTCTCCTTCTTCCATCTTCTTCTGTCTCAAGTCCTGCAGATGCTCCAAAGGGAGATCTTTTATGATGAGACTTTTATGATGGTTGGGACTTAGAACACAGAGTTCTTGAGAAGGCCACTGCATTAATTACAATTACTGGAATTAAAACATAAACCCTGAAAGCCAGGGAGCTGCCAAACATCTATTTTCTCAATTGCCTGTGATGGTATCCTATAAATTTTGACTGACAGTAAAGTATATGATGTCATAAATTTTTCTTTTTATGTATGTAAAAGGTATGGTAAGAGAGGGCACTAATGGTTTCCTGGCATAGTTTTCAAAGGCAGGTACTATGAACTTAAGCTTCCCTGCCTAGACTTTGGAAAGAAACTCGAACCTTTTACATTTCCATTTGTATCCACTGATTCTCAACCAGAACCAGGGACAGAACTGCCTGGGGTGGGGAGGCGGGAGAGTGGGGCTATGCATGCAGACTGATGTAGCGTGCTACATTACCAAGTCCACCAGCAGTAATCCTACTTAAAGTTTAAATCGGCACAGAGTAATTGGACATATTTATGAGCACAACGTGGCATTTCGGTCTGTGTATACACTGTATAGTGATCAGAGTGATAGGCCACTCTGTTGCCTCGGGAGTTCATGACTTCTGTGTGTTGGGAACATTCGGTCCTCTCTACTAGCTATTTTGAAATATTGCCCTTACTGAAGGGCCTAAGAAACCTTAAGTGCTTTTATGCAAGATGTAGTATGAGACAGAAAATGCTAGTTGTCTTCATATTTTCTTCTTAATGTTGTTAGGTGCCTGTGCTTTTTTAATCTCACCGAGCCTCAGTCTCAGGTACTTTCTATCTCACAGGGATGTTGTTCACAGCTGATAGGATGGAATCGAGAACTGACTCCCCCTGAGTATGTGATTCCAAATGAAGGGTATTTCTTGTTGCTATCTATGTTCCAAAAATATTTTTTAAACTTCTTAAATGTCTTTATCTTTTTTCTTTTATTTCTTTTTATTTTATGTGCATCGATGTTTTGCCTGCATGTATGTCTGTGTGTGTCAGATCTCCTGGAACCGGAGTTATAGACTATTGTGAGCTGCCATGTGGGTGCTGGGAATTGAACTTGGGTCCTCTGGAAGAGCAACCAGTGCTTTTAACTGCTGAGCTATTTTTCCGGTTCCTAAGATTTATTTTTGTTTAATATTTATTCTATATGTAGGGTTGTTTTGTCTGTATAGATGTTCATACACCATGTATGTGCCATGTCTGTGGAAGCCAGATGGAGGTGTTAGCTCTGGAAACTGAACACACAGTTGGGAGCCACCGTGATCTATCTCTTCAGACTCTTCAAAAGTATTTTAAAAATCTGTTTTCCATCTTTCATTTTATAGAGATCAGGACTGCAAGAAGATACTGAGTACATTCAAAAGAGCATTTGTTTCCAAAAATCCTTGCAACATCACAAGAGAAGACTATGCACCACTTGTTAAATTGGTCACTCAAACCATACCATGTAACAAGGTAATGAGGGCAAGTTATTTATTCCTTTTTAAATTGAGAATAAAGCCAAAGGGAAGATGTTCCAGGACCAACATTAGGATGCAGAAAGAGAGAAGACCTTGGCATTAGGCATAATTTGATGTGGTGGGTGGGGTCATATTGATGCTGGTGGTGGGGCTTTAGAGAACTGATGTACCATCACAGTTTAGGACATCTGGGGAAGGAAAGTAAGAAAGAGATGGGGACACAGAGGAAAGACAGAATATAATATCAATTCCATCCTACACAAACAAAAGTAACTTATACATTTATAGTTATGGAACTTTGCCCTGGCTTCTGATGATACTAAAGGAGTAAACAGCAACACAAGGTGAAGTTCCGTTAGAAGAGACATTTCTTTCTTACATCTTCTTAGCTCTTCAGAGCCATCCAATGGAGGAGCAAACCAGGTATCAGGGACTTTATTTCACCAGTGGGTAGCTTAGCCTTGTGGAGTTTAAATGAAAAGAAGTTACCTAAGGATAAGAGGCTTTAAAGTGACCAGCTGAAATATAAATAGAACGAGGCTTGGAGTCAGAGAAACACACATAGTGTGTTCAGTCCTTCGAGTACACTGGAAAAGGTCTACCACAAGGTAAAACTCCTACAAAGTCCATGTTTAAAACAAGATTTGACATGTCTGAAATTAAGTGAAGCCCCCACACCCATTCACAGTTATCAGTTCTAATCCCGTGGTTAGTGAGCTGGAGATTTCTGTGGCTGTTCCCCAGGAGTATCAGTTCAGTGCTCTGAACAGAGGAGGAGGGTGGTAGACAATAACCGAACTGACTTTATCTTAGCGTGTGTCATTTACTCTGATAGTTTCGATATATCTTTTATTTATAAAAGGTGTGTTTGTGTGTATTATGTACATATGTATGTATGCATGTACGTATGTATGTGTGTATGTATGTATGTGTATGTATGTATGTATGCGTGTATATGTGTATGTATGTGTGTATGTATATATGTGCGTATGTATGTATGTATGTATGTGTGTATATGTATGTATGTGTGTATGTATGTGTGTATGTATGTGTGTGTATGTATGTATGTGTATATGTATGTGTGTGTATGTGTGTATGTATACATGTATTTATGTATATATGTATCCGTGTATATATGTGTGTATGTATGTATGTGTGTGTATGTATGTGTGTATGTGTGCATGTATGTATGTGTGTATGTGTGTATGTATGTGTGTGTGTATGTATGTGTGTGTATGTGTGTGTATGTATGTATGAATGTATGTATATAGTGCTGGGGATGGAACCCAGAGTCTTGTGTGTGTTAGCACTCAATCTACTGCTAAGCCACATCTCTAGCCCTTAGATTTATTTTTGTGTCTACTAAATTGTGATTTTGTTTTTTCTCAAGTCTCTGTTTTGGAGCAAATCCAAACACCTGGCCCATCAGTATACCTGGATCCAGGAGAAGATGTTCACCCTGGAGGACACCCTGATGGGCTACATTGCTGATGATCTCAGATGGTGTGGAGACCCCAGTACTTCCGGTAAGGATCTGAACTACCTGGGATGGCTCAGGGTGAATGGGAAGGGAGCTCTGAGCTGGGCAAGGGAACTTGAAAGGTCAATAGGTGTATACTCTAATGCCATCAGTGACCTTAATGACAAGCTGGGCTTAATGACAAGTGATATATATATATATATATATATATATATATATATATATATATATCACTGTCCTCAGCTTTGGGGTTTAGGGTTGTCTTTGATCTCTGAGGGATAGTTGTACATGTGGAGGAAACATCACCATAAAAGGAGAAGCAAGAGAGTGAAAAAACCCAAAGTCATTTATTACTTCTTTTTGTGATAATCAATCCAGTCCCATTAGCTCTAATATAGTCTAGAGAAAAATAATCCAATCTCTCAAGAAAGTCTTTAATCCATTCATGGAGGTAGATTTCCTCATGATCCCAACTCTGTTCAGAGTCCCACCCCACCAACACACACATTGCAATACAGAATTAAGCTTACCGTGGGCACTGGTGAGGCACACTGTATCGAGCCACAGTACTGCTTCATAAGGCTGCTGAGGTCATACATCCCCACATCCAGTTTCTCCATCACTTTCCCTCTCTACCTCCTTCATGTTCTCCCTCATCTCTCTCCACTTCCTCTCTCTCTTCCTCACTTTTGGCAAGGAGTCACTTCCTTAACCTTTATATGTTGTTTCATTCTGCATTATGTATTCTTGAACATAACTCTGGATCACTTTTTTAAACATGTTTTGAAATTGAAATTATATATATTTAAGGTATACAGTGTAATGTTTGGATATAAATAGACACAGTGAACTGATTATTATATTTGAGCTACTTAATACGGACATTAAGGTTTCATCTTTTTTTCTGTTTTTTTGAGACAGGGTTTCTCTGTATAGCCCTGACTGTCCTGGAACTCACTCTATAGACTAGGCTGGCCTCGAACTCAGAAATCTGCCTGCTTCTGCCTTCCAAGTGCTGGGATTAAAGGCATGTGCCACCACTGCCTGGCATTAAGGTATCATCTTAAGGTGATCTCTCTTTCTTTCCCCTTCATGGTCAATCAGAATCTATTTGCCTAGTAAGCCATCTGTGCGTCTTCCCTCACACTGCCTTAGTCTAGCACACTAACACCCTCTCCTTCCTGCTGGGTATGCTATGTTTTACTGGTCACTCCTTACCCTCCTAGGTCAGTCTCTATCTGACACCATAGAGTTTTTCTTAGAGTGAAAACGTGATTATGTCTATCTCCCTCTAAAACCTAACAATCTCTCTTTTGTCCCTAGGCTAATGGTCTAAAGGCCTGACCTCTGTGTTTCAGATGCCAGTGTTTCAGTGTTTCGTCTTCTCATTCCTTTCTCCATCTCCTTTTCTGATCAAAGCTCATTAAGACTCTTTGCCTCTGCACATGCCATCTGCATAAGGTGCCCTTTTCTTTAGAGTCTGTCTGAAGACAATGATTCTTCTTCAAAGCAAATTTCATCCTGAATTTTTTTTTCTGGTAATAGTACCCAATCAAAGTTAATCTGTCTCTGATTATTTGACTTCACTACTTCACATGCCCTGTGAGGCAGGGCTCCCACCCGATTCAACCCTCTGTCTCTAAAACCTAACCCTCAGTAAATGTTTATATATATATACTAAGGCAGATAACCTTGAGAACAGTGCCGTAGAAACCATGTATCAACTCTCTATACTTTGCACCACACTAAGGGCTGAACCTGTTTTTGTAGGGTTGGTTATAGAAAGCCTGAGACCACCTAAGTCCCCAAATTTATGGAGGCTGAGAAGGAAACTCTCCACAAGAGAGAATTGCCAGTAATCAGAGGACTATCTGGGGAAAGTGTCTTCTTCCCGAAAAGGCCTGGCCTTCTTCCTAAGTGTCCCTGGACTCCAGGGGAGTGACAGGGGCCAGTGTCTTTCGGGTGCACTTTTGTTGCCATTTCCCAGAATGTTGAGTCAAAACCCATCACAGTGTTCCTGTCTGGGATCTGAACAGGGAGGTAAGGTGTTGGAAGGAATTCAGGGGACACTTAGGTAAATTGAGTTGAGCTGTGTCCATTCTCCAGCTTCTGTCTTGGCACAGATGCTGTTGGAATGCACTCCCACTGGGATTGGACAGCCAAGAACAGAGCCCAATGGTACATTTCCTTTTCCACTTAACTATTTTCTATAAACAATGTGTTTCAGATATGAACTATGACTCTTGCCCACACTGGAGTGAAAACTGTCCCAACAACCCTATTACTGTGTTCTGGAAAGTGATTTCCCAAAAGGTATGTCCCAAACAGTTTTTACTGAAAACACTGAAGTCCATGATTGGTCCATGATAGGTTGATGTTTGGCCCTTTTGGGGGGGTACAGATCATTTTAGGTGTGAAAGCGCAAAAAGGAAACATGCAAGATGATTTTCCCATACAACTTCAGAACATCCACAAAGGTTTTGGGAGCTCAGGGGAAGAATCCCTATACCCAATGAAGGGATAACACTCATTGGCTGTGTCTACCAGGATGCTAGGCTTGGGTTAGTCCTGGGTCCCAGGTATTGATTTGGTTTCTGGAACATTCTTAATAATCTGCATTTATAGGTTACTTGATATGTGTCCAACTGTTGCAGGAGTTAAGAATTCTATCCTCACAACCATATGAAACACCATCAATATCATGGTTACTTCTTAAAATTTACTTAACCCTTATTTTATGTATATTGGTGCTTTGCCTCCACATATGTCTATGTAATGGTGTCAAATCTTGGAGTTACAAACATATGAGCTGCCATATCGGTACTAGGATTTGAACCCAGGTCCTCTGCAAGATCTGTCAGTGCCCTTAAATGCTGAACCATCTTTCCAACCCCCAAAACCAATTTTCGTAGACATTCTGATCACAATTTTCTCATTTCATCTTCATCAAATGGAAATCAACATGTACCTATTCTAGATAGTTGTTGCTCCATTCAAATAAAAATGCCACTATCTTCTTAAGTAGTGAAACCCACACATGCAACAAATGTTTGTTGAAGACTTATTCTATGTTTTGAAAACTCAAAGACATTGTATATTTTTGTTTGCTTGCTTTTACAGAGAATATTTTCCATTATCACCTTGGGATATGTTTTACAGCCACATCATCTCTAAAACCTTCTACAGCAGTTAATTCATGTTTTATATAAAGAAGTACTTCCTTGTATCTCGTCTCAGCCTTTGGTACTAAGGGTTCGATGGGGAGGGTGATTGAAGCCACCCTGACTTCTGAGATACTGAGTACCTGCGCCTTGTTCTAGGATCTATTTGAGAAAGACAAACAAACTAGTTCCTCTTTTTGACAATAAGGATGGTTCTTCTTACAGGTTTAAATTCCCAGATCACTTTGCTGCTAAGTTGTGTTTACTTTATATCAGAGGACTCATGAGAATTCTCCTTTGTAGGTTCCAGGACTCTTCTGAGTCAATGTTTAATAATTAATCATAAGGATTAGGACTAGGTCCCTCTGTGGCTACACAAGCACCACTGGACTTCATAATTCAGCTCCGAACATATCCATAGTGTAGAAGTCACCTGCAGAATAAAGTCCAGGGTCCCTAACAAAGTGCATGGCCATCTATGAACTGATTTATTCAATATCCACTGTAATTTTCCCCACAAACTACTTTCTCCTAAACTAAGGTCCCCTTCCAGTCACAGCTTCACCAGTGAAGTCCCACCTACTCTTTGGGACATGGATTCTGTCCTGTATGGTACTTTCTTGTTCTTTCCTAGTCTCTAGTACAGAGTATCGTCCTTTCTCCTGCCATCCTTTTCATTCCTGGTATTTTACTGAGTAAAACTTTCCTGTGCCATGCACTAGGTATAAAGCACTGAAGGTTCTAGAAGCACGTGGGAATCCAAGCTCTTTGTTTTCACAAAGCTCTTCATACTGACAGTTAAAGCTGTTCAAGCCACCATTACAATGAAATATCCTTAGGTAATGTTCACAGATGTGGTGGAAGGAGACCCAAGTCCCAGAGGTCTGTCTCCAAAGGAAGCTGGACAGTACTCTGTTCACATGATGACCTCCAGTGCTTAGCTGGCCTCCTAGCTGAAAGTTGGTTGCATGAAGAAATAAAACTCCTTGCTCAACCATGTTCATTTATTCAAGCACTTGCCCCACTTTGTGCCATTTTAGAGCCTTAGGATCACTGCCTCTTACCTGGGCTTCCCTTTCTACAGTGTTACATCTCCCTAACCCCTAAATTGTCCACCTTGCTTCTACTAAATGAGATGTAGCATCTACAGTACATGACACCATGAGAGTGCTTTCATTCATGCAGATTGCCATGGCTGCATCAAGAATTCATACAAAGTAAATTCGTCCAATGGCTTAGACTATTGGATAAATTCACCATTCTTGTACTAGAACTATGGAAGCTATTCTCTCTCCCTCTCTAGTTAATACTAAAGTACTTTTTGGGTGGAATTTCTGGAGAATAATGATGAACTTCATTTTCCTCTTCTTCTTCTTCCTCCTCCTCCCCTTCTTTTTCTTCTTTCTCTTCTTCTTGGTTTTGGTTTTGGTTTTGGTTTTATACAGGGATTCTCTGTATAGCTTTGGCTGTCTTCAGTCTCATTCTGTAGACCAGGCTGACGTCAAACTAGCAGAGATCCATCCACCTGCCTTTGCCTCCCAAGTGCTAGGATCAAAGGTATGAGTCACCACCCTGCCTGGCTGATGGACTTCTCTTTTAAGTTTGCAGAAGATGCCTGTGGTGTGGTCCAAGTGATGCTCAACGGGTCCCTCAGTGAGCCATTTTACAAAAACAGGTACTTGTTTCATTTCTTTGTGCAAGGGTTCATTATCCCAGTTACCATAGTCTCCTATTGGACATGGCATTGCTAGAAAGGATGTGCTTTCCATGTTTCAGATACGTCCTGAAGAGCTGAGGTTTTAAAACGGTAAAGCTTATGTATTCTCTTCTTTCTGGGTCAACGTTTGGTCTGGTTCATCTAAGATCCTCCAAAGTTCCTAAAGGCCGTTACAGGTTTCCAGTCATTGTCCTTGACTTTTTGAGGCCTCACATTATTCTCTCAGCTTTCTTCCTCCCCCCCCCCCCAATTCTGTGCTCTCACTTCATTGATACTGTCTACCCTGCCTCCACACATCTCCCTGTTTGCATCCTCACCATTCAGGAGTAATGGCTCTCTCCACTCTGAAAAGCAGGAATCCCATGTCAGCAGTAGAGGTGTCACTGGAACATCAGAAAACATGCTGGGCTCTGACCTTCCTCCTCTTCTGGCAGTGTTGCCGGCAAAACCCTGTAGTGCTTTAATGTTGAGGACACCAGAGGACCTTACACATACTATATGTGATCTTGGGTAGGCATCTAGCCTCTGTGAGTCCCTGTCTATGTAAGTGATAGGTTGAAGATGCTATAGAAGTTAAACTGAGATAACGTGTGGACACTGCTGCACTCCATGCCTATTGAAAACTTCCCAGTACATATTAGCTAATGTCTTTTTTTTTTCATTTATTCCTCAGGGCTGAGTTGGCCGACACTCAAGCCTTCCTTCTCTGGTCTCCTTCTCATCTTAGTTTCTATGATGACGATGGTCTTGTTCTCTAATCATTCTCTGATAAACATGCTTCTGAAAATGAGAACACATTCTTTTTTTTCTGGGTACTATAGATACCCTCAGTTAATTTCTCCTTTCTTCTGCTTTAGTATTTTATATTACAAAGCCACATTAACTCTTTTGTCTTCTTCTGGCCCTCTTTTTTCTGTGGGCTTTGGGTGAAAGAGCTAATGTTCAAAATCTCACCATCTGATATTTGAGATCCAAGTCCTTGCCTCAGGAGGGGTAACTGTTCACATTAACAAGGAAGAATCTAGAAAGATGTTGTTGAATGGAGATTTTCTGTTTCTAACTAGCTCTCTGGTAATGCAAGTATTTTTTTTTTTTTTTTTAGCGTATCAATCAGCCTAGATGTATGGTTAAAACTCTTATCTTGAAAAGCTAGTAACCAAGAGTCATGTTCAATGAGGAGCAATGGGAAGCAAGGTAGATTCTGCTCAATGGTATCCAGCAGGCTGGATTGTAACAGGAGGTATAGATGCTCTACACTTTGACTTGAGGTCAGTGATGTTATCTCTTCTGTTTTAGCACCTTTGGAAGTGTGGAAGTCTTTAATTTGGACCCAAATAAGGTTCATAAACTACAGGCTTGGGTGATGCACGACATCGAAGGAGCTTCCAGGTATGTTACTGCTTCGTAGCGGAGTGATGGTCTATGAATCAGCCTGTAGAAGGAATCCAAGGTCACAGGAGCACGCTGGGAACAGACTGGCTCAGCAAATAAATGGAGCTTACACTTGGCCCTCCTTATAGTCTCTTAATTCCATTTCCACAAAGGACAGTGACTGCTTCACTCCTTTGCTCCTGCTGACCAGAGAAGCCCCAGAGGTGGATGTCTGCCCCACCTCTACTCAGTGCTGCTCCCAGAGGCAGTAAGAGACTCAGAGAGTGTATGAAAGATCTTATTATTTGAAATTTGTTTCTTCCCTAGTAACTCATGTTCAAGCTCCTCCTTAAACGAGCTGAAGGCGATTGTGCAGAAAAGGAATATGACGTTTGCCTGCCAGGATAACTACAGGTAATTGATTTCTTGGGAACAAAACAGCTGTGTGAGCTGAGAGGGCTTTAGGGATCTTCTCAGGCCTTGGTGGTGCTCTCACTGGTATGACACATGATGGTCTCTGCCCTGTCACCAAACCTAGCTTGTTTCCCTAGCCAATGGCTTAAATCTGGCTGCCTGCCCCCCATCCCCTTCCTCCTTGCCTACCAGCTCTAAGCAGTGACTTGTCTCAGCAGCTGGCTGATCCCCAGAGTACACATTTCTTTTCTGCTTTACTGCTGTATTTCAGGGGAGCAGAAATATGCTTTGCCAAGGCCTTTCTCCCAGCTTTTAAAATCCTGAGCCTGGCTATAAATTTGCATGTGAAATATCCTTAGATTCAGATGTAAGTACCTAATAGTTGCCAAATTTCCACATGACAGTCTAACAAGAGTTATCTTTTCTAGATTAAAAGCAAAACTGATGTAAATAAATTCTTAAATAAAATTTACCATTAACCTATGGGTAGGTATATTGTTTTGAAAGCCACCTTTAACTTTAAAATGTCAGGACTCCCTCATAATTTTTAACTATATCATGGCCAGTGATACAGGCAGGGACATCTCCCTCTACAGAGAAGCACTTTTGGAGCTTATCCTATGTGGAATAGCTTCCACCAAGACTAAAGGAGAGAGAAAATGCTTTGTGGCATATGTACAAGCTGAAGAGATGGGATATTTTTCAGTCTCTTCATGTCACCTACCACATCTCAAAGACAGACTTAAAAGATGGATGGCTCATTTCCCAGATGACCCAATTTCCCCACCAATCAGCTGTCTATTCTTTGGAAACTTCAAAACAAAACAAAACAAAACAAAACAAAACACCCACCAAAACCAAAAACTGACAACATGCAGCAATTAAATGCAGAAACAGAAGAAAAGATAACTATAAGAGAAACTCTCTAGGCAGCTGACTAGGCTAAGTCACTCAAAGATATTTTGCATGAAAAAGAAGCATAGGAAGACTAGAAGAAGATTGAGGAACATAGACCCTGTGGTTTTGTTTGCTCACATTTATGAAAATGATAGTCTTTTCAATTTACAAGTTAGATACTTACCTAAAGCTTGCTTTGTATAGAGGCAGTATGGTCCTCTCACTGTGTCATTCAACCCTCTTGAGAAAGGTCCCTGAGTTCTTTGCTGTCAAATGCTTTCACCCAGAAGTCACCAGGAAGCTTCTGATCTGAGGAAAGAAGAATACTCAGGAAGGATCTGTGTGGGCCTGGTCCCAGTGGCCATATCTGCTGTCTTCTGGTCATCAGCTGTCATATATACTTGTGACACATTTGAGCCAGTTGTTTGTTTTTAGCTCTCCATAATACTGTTGTACACCCTCCTTGGTATTTACCTCTATGATCTTATAAACGAACTGCAACTAACTTGGCACATGCTTTCAGGTCATTTACTCCTGGGTTAGGTCTTTCTCAGTGTTGTCTCTGAGCTCAGATGTGTGTGGATGCTCAGTGGTTAATCTTTGGTTGCCATGGAGGGTCTTCTTTCAGTGATGAGTGGGACCATAGTTACATCATTCCGTCTCTGTTCTCTTAAAATTGTTGTCACATTTATGTTTATTAATTTACTATATGTGTATGTATGTGCACATGTATGCACATACCATAGCCTTCATGTGGACATCAAAAGACAACTTGTAGAAGTCAGTGCTTTGATTGACCACATGAACTCTGGGGATCAAACTCTCAGGTCACTGGGCATGGCAGTGAGCACTTTACCACGTGATCCATCTTGACAGTCCTCATCCTGTCCCTGACTGACTTCCTTTCTTGTTTCTCTCCCACAGGCCTGTCAGGTTTCTTCAGTGTGTGAAGAATCCTGAGCATCCGTCATGTAGACTTAATATGTGAAGGATTTGGATCTTAGACCACCTATAGCACAGATTGAGATGGAGGGGCCCAGAAGCAACACTGGTGGAAAGCTGAAGCCATCAGGGAGAGGACTCTACTACAATGTTAACACCAGAGATGGAAGAACTTTCCAATACATTGTGACAAAATGACACGATCAACTTAGTGCTTACTATATACTACCAATATTCAAGAAAAATTACTCCATAAACCAGACTTAAACTTCTATATTGTTATTTTGGTCTAACTTTCTCATGTGGTGCTTTTATATTGTTTATATATTGCTAGCATACTTTTTCTCCCTCTCTTTTAATTAGTTCGTTTTCTCCCCCCCCCTCAAACTGAGAATCAAACCTGAGAACTTTCACACGTGGTGGATAAGCCTATATACCACTGAGGTAAATCCTCAGCACAGCTGGTAACATCATTTTTATTGAAAAATGCCCAAACTTCCCATTGGACAAGGAAAGTCAAATGTCAAGTTTATCAAAATGAATGACTTAATTTTTTAATATTTTTTCATTCTTCCCACAAATATTCACATGGCAAACCTGAAGTCACTGGGTCATTATAGGGAAGGTGCTCTGTGGGAACCACCCACATGCCCTGTGCTTTAATCTTTAACCCATCCAACATGTCCCTGATAACTTTGAGTATTATTTTCCTTTTTTTTAAACAGGAGAAAATGGAGTTTAGAGAGATAATTGATTTTCCTAAAGTCACATTCTTCAGATCATGGTTACATCTGAAATTAAATCAGTTTTGTCAAAGTCCACAACATATGATAATTTTTTTCTTTTCTGAGCTTTTTATTGCCCAATTGATAGTAGCCTGTGTTATCATCTAGCAAATACATTTGTATTAAATTGAATATAATAAAGTCTGAAATGTGATCTTTATGGGAGATCTCAAAACTAATTACCTGTACCCTCTTTCTCTTCCTCCTCATTCTTGGTGCCTTCATAGGTAGTCAGGAGTTAACATATATTTGTTGCTGATATTGGCAATTTATGTTTTCTATCCTATTTTCCTTAGACCAGTCTTGCTTAGAATCACTAATTTTGCTATGTTGTTGCCGTCTTTTTCAAAGCTCCAATCTTTAGCTTTCCTCATTTATTTATTTAATTGAGATTGTGTCTTTATTTTTAAAAACATAGAAATTTCTTCTAGCTATCTTGAATATCTTCATTCAGTTTTTTGAGGCAAATGTTTAGACCATTGCTATTTCAGCCTTTTCTTTTTCAGTTTTCTTTTCCTACACATGTGTTTTGGGACTCTAGGTTTCCCCCTGAGCCCTGCTTTCACTGTAACACTGGATTTCTATATGCCTTTACTGGTTAGTTATCATTCAGTTCAAAATAATTCCTGATTTTATTGTTATTTAAAAATGTGATATTTACTTTTCAACACCTGGAGAATTTTTTTTTTAGTTTTTTTTTTTAAATGCCCTTGGTGGGTATTAATAAACTAAATTGAGAAAGCTCCAAAGAATGTGCTTGGTTTATTAAAAATAGCATAAATGTTGGAGCCAGGTGTTTCTGTGTTCATGTTTTGACACCATTTTGTGGTTTTGAACAATATATCTGTTCTCTAAACTTTATAAAAACTACTGAAAGACATTATAATATGTTGAGCTCTTGGGAATGGTTAAGTCCATTACATGCTTACTTTGTAAGTATGAGGGCTTGAATTCCATTCTCCCAAACCATGTAAAGGTTAGGAGGCAGAAGCAGGTGAATCTCTGTGGATTTGAAACCAGCCTGACCCAGAACAACCAGGGCCACATAGAAAGATGCTATCTACCTGCCCACCCCCCGGACACCTCAGATAAAACATTAAAAACAAAAAACCAGGTAAGTGGTGCACCATTGGAATCTCACGAATGAAGACGCAAAGACAGATTCCCTACTCTCTTCTTCATCCCCAGCCTAACCGATAAGCCCAGGTCTCAGAGAGAGGCTTTTTCAAAATCAAGGTAGAAGCGATATAACAAATGACAGCTTAGTATTTTCTGTAGCCTTCTTATGCATGTGCACACATAGAACCCTCTCTCTCTCTCTCTCTCTCTCTCTCTCTCTCTCTCTCTTTCTCTTTTTCTCAAATATGGTGTTAGACTGTATGATAAAAAATATTAACCTGTAAGCCTTGACAAGTTGGGGGCTGCATTGTTAAAATATATATGCAAAAACTAGGTGGGTGGTACACCACTGGATTCTCAGTAATACAGAAGCAGAGACAGGTTTCCCACTCCCTGTATGAGGGGGTGAGAATTATGTATAATTACATATACAAGAATAGCCACAGTGGACACACAGTGGGTAGCTCTCACTGGTGTCTGGACCACTTATGCAACCTTATAGAGAATTTAAGTCTCGGCTTGACAACCCAGTTCTGACAGGGATTCAGATTTGTCCCAGCTTTCAAGTAGCTTCCCCTACAAAATGTCCTCAGAGCCAGATCCCTGCTGATCCAGCCTACAACCTGGAACTTTTACCCAAGCCTTCCTCCCTTACTAGGAAGGTTGGTTGCTAGACTCAGGATTTACGAATGGCCTTTGCTCAGGAACATCTTTTGGAGTTGGCTGCTGTGTCAGAAGCTGCTGGGCCTTCACATCCCCTTTCAAGATGAAGTGGACAGAGTAGAAATCAACTTGTAAGACACGCCTAAGTTAGAAATTAACTTGTAAAATGTGACCAGCAACACTCCCCTGAGGTCAAGTTTTGGGCCAATAGAGATCTCAGAGGAGGCAAATCACAAGGTTTTCACATGATGCTGAGAGAGCCCTCCAGAGCCACAGAGGTGGCTTAGATGTTCTTTCCCCTCATACACACACACCCCATCTCCCTTTATTGCAGTGGTTCTCATCCTTCCAAATGCAGCAACCCTTTAATATAGTACCTCATCCTGTGGTGACCCCAACCATAAAATTATTTCATTGCTATGTCATAACTGTACCTTTTCTACTGCTATGAATTGTAATGTAAACATCTGATGTGCAGGATATCTGAGATGGGATCCCCAAAAACGTCATAAATAACCTACAGGTTGAGAACTGCTCCATTATCACCATAGCACACTATCCTGAACCTTTTCTCTCTGTAAGTCTGACTTTGAACATCTATACCATTGACCCTGCTGCCATTTCCAGCCCTGAGAACTTGATGGCCTACATGCACAATAGGTAGTCCAGTCCTCACCTTATGCGACTGTTTGCTCATAGATTTTCTGTACCTGCTCTCCATCTCTGTCTTCCGTCATAGCTACTCAAGCGGTGTAGAAATAACCTCAGACCTAAAGAGTTCTGAAATGATAAGCTGAATGCTTGAAAGTGTGAAAGTGTGTGTGTGTTTCTGGGAATGTACAGTAATTACATCAATTGTTCTTAGCTGACAAATAAAACTACTAAATATTGAGGAAAATACATATTTTTCCTTCGGCTTTGTCTCGGTTACGCTCTGAGTTGTTCTTCCATTGCCTGAAAACAGCCCAGCTCAAGTCTGCATGTTCTCAGACGCAAAAGACAGCACCAGCAACAGACTTCCTCCTCAGTGGCCCGTTTCTTCCTAAAACAAATTCCCATGATTAGAACTTGTGTGTAGGGCTGTAGAGGTGATGCAGCACTAAAGGCTAGGCTCACAACTAAAAAATTTAAGTTGTGTGTCTTGGGAAGACTCTGCTTGGCTGACTCTTAAATGTTAAGAACATAGTTTTGCTTTTGAGTAATAGTCTTTGGAAATCCAGGATGTAACTAATCTGATGCATCAAGACTTTTGAATAGAGGAGAAAGGTGACCAGGCACTCAGGAGTCCCATCCTGTATGTGGCCAGAAGAAAAGGACCATAGATGTCCCTCTGATCAGTTACTCTTCCCCGGATTTTGGACAGAGTCTTTTATCCCAGGTAGGTCTTGAACTCATCGGAACCCCTTGCCTCAGTCTCCTGAGTGATGGGGTTACAAGCATTTACAGTTCAGCTTTCCTTCCTCTTTGGGATCTGCACCACCCTCTCAGTTTCCACCATAGCTCATCTCCCTCCAAAGAGAACTGAACTTGAAGGCCCTGTGAGCAGTCCAGTGGTTTGCGGCATGAGACAGCTGAGCCAACGCACGAGGAGGAAGATGGGAATTTGTTAACTTCCGGCAATTTGCCTATGTCTATACATTCTTGATGACGCAGTACAGTTTATCAAAATGTTGCGTGTGGTAAGCTGGAACATCAATGGGATCCGGAGACCCCTGCAAGGTCTGGGATGCAAGATACCCAGCAGCTGTCCCACGGCCTTGAGACACATTTTAGAGGAACTGGATGCTGATATTGTCTGTCTCCAGGAGACCAAAGTGAACAGAGATGCGCTGACGGAGCCCCTGGCTTTTGTTGAGGGCTATAACTCCTATTTCAGTTTCAGCCGCAGCCGGAGTGGCTATTCTGGTGTAGCTACTTTCTGTAAGCACAGTGCTACACCAGTGGCTGCCGAAGAAGGCCTGAGTGGTCAGTTTGCCACCCTGGACGGACATGTCGGTTGCTATGGAAACATGAACGAGTTCACCCAAGAGCAGCTCCGGGCTCTGGATAGCGAGGGTCGGGCTGTCCTTACACAGCACAAGATCTGCACACAGGAAGGGAAGGAGAAACCTTTGACCCTGATCAATGTGTACTGCCCGCATGCCAATCCTGGGAACCCTGAGCGGCTGACCTTTAAGATGCTTTTCTATCGCTTGCTGCAGATCCGAGCAGAAGCACTCCTGGCAGCCGGCAGTCATGTGATAATCCTGGGGGACATGAATACAGCCCACCGTCCCATTGACCACTGTGATGCTGGCAGTCTGGAGTGCTTTGAAGAAGACCTGGGACGTAAGTGGATGGATGACTTGCTTAGTAACAGGGAATACCAGGCTGGGTCCCATATAGGGCTTTTCATGGATAGCTACCGCTATTTGTATCCAAAACAGGAGAGGGCCTTCACCTGCTGGTCAGTCATCAATGATGCCCGCAGTCTCAACTATGGTACCCGACTTGACTACGTACTAGGAGACAGGACTCTAATTATAGACACTTTACAAGATGCCTTCCTGCTTCCTGAGGTGATGGGCTCTGACCACTGCCCTGTGGGAGCTGTCTTGAATGTGTCCTGTGTGCCAGCGATACAGTGCCCAGCTCTGTGCACCCGTTTCCTCCCCAAGTTTGCAGGTACCCAGCTCAAGATTCTTGGCTTCCTAGTCCCTATGTGGGGGCAGTCTGTCCTGCAGCCCAGCAAACAAGTCCAGCTACAGAAACAGCAAAAAGCCCAAGCCTACAGGTACTCATTCAGGCCTCCAAAGCATCAAGGTGGTTCCAGAAGACGCCAGAAAAACCTGAAGAGTTATTTTCAGCCTTCTGTTAGCCTTTCCCAGAATTCTCCTGATGTGGAACTACCTAAGCTGCCTCCGGTGGGCACTCTTGTACCTCCAACGACTCTGGAAGGGGATGTGATAGCTACAAGGACCGATAAACAAGCCAACGTTTCTAATGTCAGAAATGTGGAGGCACAGACCTCGTTCTGGAAATCTGTGCTGAGTGGGCCCTCACCCATGCCCCTCTGCAGAGGCCACAGGGAGCCGTGTGTGATGCGGATTGTGAAGAAACCAGGACCTAACCTGGGCCGCCATTTCTACATATGTGCCAAGCCACAAGGTCCTCCAAATGATCCCTCATCAAGCTGCAACTTCTTCCTGTGGAGCAAGCCCAGATGAACCAACTGAGGCCTAGTGATGTCTACCCTGGTCATCCCTACACAGGGTCTGATGCCTCGCCTCTCCCCTGAGGCTTCCTTCTTTCTTCCGCCTCTGCTTCCCTTTCCTTGTCCTAGCTTCCCCTGAGACATTCTTCTTCTCACACTTCTTCCTCTTTGTCCACACAGGAACAAGCTGCCCAGGAAGTTGTCATTTTAAACCCCTGATGCCTGAAATGTGCAATGTATTTGTTCATAAGCCAAGTCTGTGTCTTTGTTTCAGTATTTAAAAAAAAAAATCTTGGGTTTGAGAATCACATGACATAGCTGTTCTCTTTGAAGAAAATTCGCCTGCACTCCCCTTAGGAAGTGATTCAGTGACATAACAAGATTCATGGTTCTTGCTAAGTGACACAAATGTCACACAGCACTTAGAAGCTTGATGCAAAGACTAGACCTACAGAGAAGGGGTCTCTCAACTGTTGCACCTAGCACTCCACACAGTGCTGCTGTCAGCCACCTCCACTGCAACCACGGAATACAACTTTGGGTACATATAAATTTTCTAAGTGCTTTTTGGATTTTATGGATTCTTCAGGAGGGCAAGAAACAGATATAGGAGTCACCCAGGCCAAAAAAACAAACAAACAAATGAAAAAACAAAAACAAAACAAAACAAAAAAACATCGCCAGGTACTCTCCTGACTGGTGAGGTAAAAGAGTCTTTAATTACCTTCTAGGTAGCAGGCTATCCTTCTATGCTAGAACAGTCATGGGTATTTCTGGGAATAGAATTTACAGAAGTAGATGGCAGGTGTTGGGTGGATCCTGACACTTGCTTGCTGTATTTTTCTCAAATTCATTGTACAGATCTGCCTGAAATGAAGACCCGACATAAATAACTGCTTAGAGCAGGCTCTGGTTCCCTCTTTTTAAAAATGGAAGTAATTTGCGTTGTCATGGTCAGCTTTAACTGTCAACTTGACAGAGCCTATAGTATGTGATAGATGCGTACACATAAAGTATAGTACAGTCATATTAGAGAGAGGAGAGCCTTAGCTGAGTAACTTCCTAGATTGAATTGTCCTATCTGTGGGGATTGTCTCTGCCTGACATTCTCTTGTCTGTAAAAGTCACTGGTCAAATAAGGCCAGGTTTGGATCCCATTCCTCCTGTATTATGTGACCTTGGCCAATGTACTTAGCTTCTCTGGGCTTTGGCTTCCTTAAGCAGAACATGATGTACATTGCAGGCCATAAGAACTGGAAAATGGCTGTTTTGATTGTCCTCATGTTCAAGAGCATCTTCTGTCTTGCAATGTGGAAAATGAGGGTTAATGAGAAGAGAGGCAGAAGGGACAGCAGAGATCCCTGTGGAGGGTTGCTTCAGTGTTAGGGTGGAGGATTCCAATGCTTCTAGTCCACAGCCCCAAAACTGTTTTCATTCACTGTAAAATTGTACAGTGCCTAGCTTGAAGGGTTTCTTGGATCTGAATAAGAATAAAGACTGAGTAAGAAATGTAAAATCACTGGCTAATGCCAAAAAATATTGATGTCTCTCTCATGTTAAAAAAAAAAAACTCTAAAGTCAGTGATTTTGGGGCAGGTAGGATCCTCAGAAGCCCAGCTGCCTGCACCACTGCTGTCCTCTGCTTTCATGGACCAGAATAGCTTTCCAAGAACCACATCTGTGATCCACGTAACAGAAAGGAGGACAGAGAATTAAAGAATAACTCTGCCTTATCTCTTAAGAAGCTTCGAGAAAGTTTCATAGAACACTTTTAGCCATTCACTAAAACTCATATAACTTCTTCACCCAGCCACAGAAGAGGCTTTGTTTTGAACTAGATAAGTGTGCCATCATTTCAGACAGAGGTAAGAATGGCTGGTTCAAAACAGCTAAGTTGACAGGCTCATGACTAGAATTAACTCACTACTCAGTAAATATACACAAGTACCCTTTGCATCATTATTACTAACCAGGGAGATGCTCTTGGCTCATCTGGGGACCAACAGGGGGAACTGGGGTCAAGACATGTTTGAAAATATGAATTTAAGTCCAGCCTGGACAACATGGAAGGATGGATCTCAAAAAAAAAAAAACCCAAAACCCCAAAGATCAATAAAAGCCCTAGAAGGGTTAATAAGTGTATTCTTAGCATATTCAAAGCCTCAGTTTGATCCTAAGAACAACAATGGATAGATAGATAAATAGATAGATAGATAGATAGATAGATAGATAGAAGATAAAATAGAGATGTCACCATAAATGACTTCCTCAGGAGGACTCTGATATCAATCTTCTTGCTCTCAGTCCCTCTGTTTATAAGGCAAGGTGCACCCCACAAGCCATCCACATGGAGAAGTCACCCGGGGAATTTTTAAATTATCTAAAGGAGCAGTACAATTTTGTTGTTGTTATAAACTGGGAGATATACTCTTTGAGATGACATTTTTGGAATAGAAACATCTATAGTCTTATGGCTTAAATTATCCTATCTTTTTAATTGGAAAGAAAATTAGATGCACAGTTACAAAAAGAGCTAATTTAGAAATACATTGTCAGAATAAATTACATGGAAGAAAAATGGTGGTAGGATTAGGTAGAAGACTACACACATGAGAAAGTATTTTTAAATGCAGATATTAGCATTTATCATTATATTAATTTATCTCTTAGATTATTACACAGGAAAGGCATTAAATGCACTAAATGTCACATTAAATGTCACCTAAGAGAAGATGTGTACATTCAGAATCACAAACTTTAGAGCTAGGCAAAAACTATTTTCCAAGTCCATTCTGGTCAGCAGAGCCATTAGGACAGCATAAGAGTGAGAGGTACCAGAGAGCAAAATCTAAGGGGACATCTCTCTGGGAGTAAACATGTGTCTTAAGCAACTCTCACTGTCCTTACCCCAACATCCAACATGTAGCTTGAGTCAAAAACACAGTTATTATCTAGCTTATTACTTTGATGTAGTCTTTAAGGATCTTATATTGAATAATTAAATTGTGTAGAGGATTTTAGAACATATCTATTTACAGATAAAGCAATCATAAAAGATACTCAGAAGAAGCCTCAATCTATAAGGAAAAAATGATTACTTCTCTTAGAGAAATACTAGTCCGGTGACTAAAGGGAACACTTTGTAGGATGTGGTCAAGCCCCTTAGATGTTGCCATAAGAAAACTGACCACTTTTTTTCCTCTATGTAGCCCTTGTTGTCATGGTACTCCTTCTGTAGACTAGGATGCTTATAACAGTTTTCAATGACTTCTATTCAGGCATTTGTGACTGTACACAAACTAATACACCGATATACCAGTTAATAAGCTAGTGTATCTTCTTTCTTAATATTTCTTAAGAGGGCTTTATTGTTTTGTTTTGTTTTTTTAAAAGAAAGGTTTTGCCACAAGTAAGCAGCAATACTCTTAAACGACAAGTCAAACTCAGGAGGTAGAAGCAAGGATTCCAGGTCATCCTTGGCTACGCAGTTTAAAGTTAGCCCATACTACATGAGATTCCTTCTCAAAACAGAACAAAATGAGTCCTCCCAAACCAAGCAATAAATCCAACTGGTTTTCAGTGGTCTCATTGCTGCAAATGGTGAGCTCAGGATGACGGTATCACTGTTTCTAAGCTAAAAACAGATACAGTGCTCAGAAGTCTCATACAAGAAGCTCTACTCCAGATGACTAATGAAATGTAATAATTGACAATGGTCCCACTGATGTCAGTAGAACTTCAGATGTCCCCTTGATGTCAGTGTGGGTCCCCAAACTCTTCAATTCAACTGCACTCTTGTTTCAAGCTTTGTGTTCTGCTTTCCCAGTATTATTAACAACCTGATCACGATTCAGGTCCTTTAAATATCAGATACAACCAGGGTTACATTCTACAACAAGTCTGTAATTTCTCATCCTACATGATATGATTTTAAATAACATTTCTGGTTTATACTCAACTCATGATGATGATCAAGTATACAGTATACAGGTTGGAGTATACAAGCTGGCCAAAAGAAAGTCAAGTTAGGCTGAGTGTGGATGGTGCGTACTTTCAGTCCCAGCACTTTGGAGGCAGAGGCAGAAGGATCTCTCTGAGTTTGAGGCTAGCCTGGTCGACATGTCATCTCAAAAAAAAAAAAAAAGGAAGAACATTGGCTTATCATTTTGCCAGTATAATGGTGTTATGCTCAACTAAGATATTATTTCCCATTAAAATCACAAAATTGAACCCATAAGTTACATGGTTGTCTCCAGTTGAGTGATCATTACAGATTTCTTCAGTCTGGTGAAATTCTCAGTTGTGAGAAGGGTATGACATTACTTTACTGTAATCCAGCCAATGAGAAAAGAAGTTGTGTGTCCTGGGGTATGCAGAGGGATACCTATTCATATCCATTTACAGGATATCAGTGACAATCCATTTGCTCTCCTCCTCTGGTCCATGAAGAATAAGTACCTTTCCTGACTCTTCAGTGCAGTGACCAGACATGCAAAATAAGTACAGGTCCTTAACTTGCTTGGTGGTGTTGTGATGCTGGAAGGCCCTGATATTTAAAGGTCAAAGTCTACCATGTCTGGACAACTCCCCTGATCTTGCCACAAAATAGATGACTCCCTTTCCAGCAGAGTTTCCTCTATGTTATCTGGGGAGCCCGACTCCCACACTTTTCCTAAGGAAGTCACATAATCCTTGGCAAAATTACAGGTTCAATTTCTTGGAATGCCTTTCCAAGCAAATGAGGTATCCCCAGAACCTTAAGCCTCAGCCAATGAAACTTTGCCCTAAAAAAATCTCCTTCCCACTTTCCAAGGTATAAATAGTCCTTGTTCACCCTGAATAAAGATCACAAGCTGTTTCACTGAATACTGTTGAAGAAAGCTGTTTCATTGAATGACCTTTGCAAGAGCTGTAACTCTGAAATCTTTGGAGAAGATCCCCCTTCTTTCCTCTCCCCCGTACCCAACCCCTCAGCATTCACTGCAGAACTTCGATCCTGCTGATCCACCCATT